CCGCGGCGAGGCCGCCGCGGCCTCCGAGCCCGCCCCGCCGCCCCCGGCGGAGGCGGCGCCGCCGGGGGAGGCGCGCCGCCCTTGCCGCAGTCGTGCTCTCCGGGTCGCTGCCGCCTCACTCGGGGTCAGAGGATCGGCAGCGAGCGGTGGGGCTTGCGCGGTGGCTTACGCGGGCCGCCCGTGCGGCACGCCACGTTTGAAGCGAGAGCGCTTGCGCGCGACCTTGCGCGGGCGGCTGGCGCGCCGATGTCGGTGCATAGGGTCCCGTTTTTTTTTTTTTTTGTTGCGTCGCTCAGGTGCCTCCCGAAGGGCCCGCGGGTGGGGGGAGCCCACGAGCGACCTGGAAGGGGGCGCGGGAGGGGGGGGGGAAGAGAGAATGAAAAGGCCCTCTCAGAAGGCAGCGGGGCTTCTCAGACGCCCTCGGGCCGTCTGAGAAGTTTTTGATGGGTCTTCGGGGAAGGCTGGGGCAACTTGCACACCAGAAGGCTGGAGGACTTCCGAGCCTTCCGAGAAGGCCGCCCCGTCTCACTTCCCCCCCGCGCTCGCCGCCAAGAGGAGGGCGGTTTGAGGAAGCGGCAGCTGGCCTTCGGGGGGGGGGGCCTCCTCGTCGCCACGGCTGGACGCAGCTCGGGAACCTGGTCCGTGTGGACCCCGGGAGGGGTCCAGGGGCCGATTTTGAGCGGTCCTCCTCCGACGGAGGGCACCAACTATACGTCTGCACCGATCCTGGCGGGGCCGATCCTGGGCCCAGGATGTCGGCGCACGCCTGCCTCTGTGGCCAAGCCAGAGGGGGGGGGGCGTGTGTGCCTCGCTCCCGGGCCCCAGAGGGGCCTGGCTTGCTTCGGCCCGGTGCCTGCTGTTTCTCCGGGCGTGTCGCCCGGCGCGTGCCTATTGTTTTGGGTCGGGCATGGACCCCGACAGGAGGAATATTCAGAACTAGTCAAATAGTAGGGGACGATTTTTCGATAATTTTCCAAAGCTAGGAGGATTTTTTTGAACAAAAAGTATTAGGAGGAATATTCTAAACTAGTCAAAGATTGGGGGACGATTTTTCGATTTTTTTTTGGGGGGTGTCTTCTGTGACAACATCTTGTCGTCCAAAATCCGCCCGACCTAAGCCTGCTGTGACCTCGAGGATGGCGCGCAGCTCGCTGGGCCCCGTTCGCTGGCCGGGTCCGCCGAGGTTGCGCCAGCCAGGCGCCCGTGGGCGCCTACGTGGGGTCCGCTGTACAGTCCTACTCTTAAGTCGGGCCTGTCCCTCTACTCGGGAGCGGAAAAGAGGGGGGTGATGACTGGGGGGGGGTGGATTTCATGGCGCGGGTCATGATTTTTCTTCAGATTTCATGGCGCCTCTTCTTGTTTCATTACGTCCCTGGCCCCCCCGCTGGGCCGCGCACATGCCGCCGATCATGATTTGCACCCCCCCTCTTGGACACCCCCCTCTTGGCCGCTCCCGATCTACGGGGGGAGCATTCAAGAACATTAGAACAATAGTCTGGGGACTATTTCTTGAATATCGTTCGACCATGCTGGAGTATTTTTTGAGTATTTTTCATTTTTTGTCGAAAATCCCCCTGTATGGGGGGCACGCCCATCCTATTCCCGAGAGGGAATGGGCTGGTACCCCCCACTTCGAGGCCGGGGTTCTCAGTGCCCCTTCGAATGCTACGCTTCGTATTTTTTGCACGATCTCTCATCCGCTGTGCCACATAATCTCGTTCCAATCAACCCAGTCTCGACCCTCCGCCATCGCCTGCACTGAGTTCAATACGCTGCACATGCTTTGATCCAGTAAGTGCATTTTGCACCCGTTCCTGTTAAGCAACACCATGCCCGCCACACGCGCGCACCCCCGCGCTCGCATGTCATAACCGTTCAACCATGGGTATACCAACTTAAAAACGTATCTATACAAGCACTACCAGACACATTTTCTGCAACACGTGTTGCCCGATGTCTGCGTGCGGGTACTCGCTGAATATTTTTTGTCGCCCTGTCAAGTGAGACCATGCGAACTGCACCCAGGCGCATGTCGAACACATTCAACAACTATCGCGCAGTCTACAACTCTGTTAAACTCAATGCGGGCCACGCGCGCGTGTCCGCGCGCGCACGTCGGAAAGCACTCCAAATCTGTTTTTTTTCGGAACACTTCAGCACTTCTGTGTTCAACATCAATGGACAATCGAATTGCTTGTTGACCAAATGTGTCAGGAATTATGAGTTTCTGCGCAAGTTTCTTCAGCATCCCCATTTGCACTATGTTGGTCATCATCGTCCGCGTCATCATTGCCATCGTCATAGTTATCGTCATCGGCATCATCATCATCATGACCATGGTCGTCGTCGTCGTCGTCGTCATCAACCCCGTCGTTATTGTCGTCATTGTCGTCATCGTCGTCGTCGTCGTCCTCGTCATCACCGCCACGGCCACCGCCGCCATCGTCGTCGTCGCCGATGCCGTCGTCACCATCATCCCTTCCGCGCCCGAGTCGTGGATCTGGATGAGCAGGATCCGCGCGTCATTGGAATTCGCGAGCAAATCCCGATGGCTGATTACCCTCGCGGCACATCATACCACCCCGGGCGACTAGGTATTGACCCCCCTCCATCTTTGTCAAATAGTACTATGCGCGCGCACTCGTTTATCTCAAACGATCATGTTGCCAGAGCCACTTGCCGCAAACACTACAACGTCCACGCACGCGCACATGTCGAAGTCATACCAAGCACATGAGTTTTGCAAGCGTTTCGAGAACAACGCCTCAACCACATGAACACCTCAGCCACATCGTGGCTTTCCACCCAGGTCCCTGCACTTTAGGAACGCCATGTGGTTCTGTGCATCTCGTCCCGAGACCGCAGTCTCGTCTCACAGGGCGATGCGTCCGCGTTGATCTAGCACGCGCCCAGTGCGCAAGCCCATATCAACTGGTACCAGGCGGGCCACGTGCGCACGCCGCCACGCAGGCGCGGCGACATCTTTCCAGCTACCACGGTTTCCAAACCATTTCAGCATGCATACACACATACGTGCGTACGTACGTGGTACGTACACACGTACATACGTACATACTTACATACGTACACATGTACATACGTACATACATACATACGTACATACGTACATACGTACATACGTACATACGTACATACGTACATACGTACATACGTACATACGTACATACATACATACGTACATATATACATACGTATGTATATATGTACCTGTATATTTGTATATGTATGTATGTATGTATGTATGTATGTATGTATGTATGTATGTATGTATGTATGTATGTGTGTGTGTATGTATGTATGTATGTATGTATGTACGTACGTACGTACGTACGTACGTACGTACGTAAGTATGTATGTATGCATGTATGTATGTATGCATGTATGTAGGTAGGTAGGTAGGTATGTATGTATGTATGCATGTGAGTATATAGATATCGTAATGATTAGAAACAGCAATCGCAATTCAGCAACACGTTTACCAGTTTTATCGAATTTCTGCGCGTGCGCACCTCCTTACCATCACCCCCATCAGCGCCATCGCATCGCCACCGTCATCGCCATCGCCAATCGCCGCCATTGCCGCCATTACCAGCCACTCACTTTCATCGCCGATGCATGGACATCATCGTCATCGTCGTCACCATCATCGGCGCTGGCATTGGCCTTGCCGTTGTCATCGTTATCATCGCCACCACCACCGCTACTAGCATCGTCGCTGCCGCCGTTGTCGACGTCATCATGACATCGCGCCCGTCCGAGTCACTGACCCGCAATGAAGTGCCCGCTCGCCGGCGCGGCCTCTCAGACACGCTGGGAAGTCCTCATGGGTAAGTACCATCGCGGCCGCATCAATTGTGCGAAACGAGCTGGCCGCCCTGCGCGCGAGCGTACGCGCCCCAGCGCGGCCGTAGATATGCGCTAGCAAGTGTCAGTCAGCCACCACAGTTGTGGCCGCACGGGTTTTGCAAAACAAGTTGCGGGTGGGAACGTGGGGTGTTTGCGCGAGCAGTGGAGCTGTCCATTCGTTGAGCAGTGGAGCTGGCAACTCGTTGTTGACCTGTTTGATTGCGCCACGTAGTTTGCACCACGTGCAGTCAACCCGCATAGTAAAGATGGGCAACTTTCCAAGGTTACCCCAGCATCCTTGCCTCCTCGGTCCGTCCTTGGCCTCTTTCGCTGGCCGCGCCCCGCTCGAAAAGCTTCGACATGGGCGTCCAAGGCCCTTGCGTCCTTATCGCGGATCCGTATGATACGGGTTGACTGTAGTCTGCGCCACATGTTCTGGAGGAGGAGGAGGACGAGGAGGAGGACCCGTGTAAACCCAAGAGGCACCACCGATGTTGGAATACATTGTCCCTCCGAGCTTCCTTCTCATAGGCCACTACAACGTTTCACTTCCATTGAAGGAACTGCCTCTCTGGAATACAGCCATTGGAAGACCCAACAAATTGTTCTCGGGATTCCAACGCCACGGATCAACCTGACTGCTGCGTCTTGACAATCCTGAATTGTGCCAGAACTCCATTCTTGGGACTTCAACACAGTGGATCAACATAACTGTTGCGCCAGCGTGATACTGAATCCTTTCAATACACCATTTGTGGCACGTTGATGCTCGGAACCCGTGGAACTCTTGAAACTTTCTATAAACAGATGTGCGCCGCGCTCAGGCGAGAGCGCTATTTTGAAAAGGAACCGCCTTCAATCCGTGAGATGTTGAAGTTACTCCCCATCATGCTCTCTACTCTTCTGTATTCTATCTTCTTTCTCTTACTCTCACTCTTTGCTTTGCGCAATAGCCGTTTCAGCTTCGAGGAAGACAGGATTTTCTTCATCATGGCAGCGGAGCTCTGAAAGCTCAGCTTTGCGATCCACGGCAACGAGTTCGCGGTCGGACCCGCGGACGCCACCTTGGCGCCAGCAGCGGGCGCCTACTCCGCCACTTTGGTCGCGGTCAGCCCCGCGGCCGCCGCCGCCGCCGCCGCCGCCGCCTGTACCCCTTGCGGGGTGGCCTCGGCCGCCAGCGCCGCGGGAGGAGCCCAAGGAGTTCTCGGCTTTAGGCCCGGGCTTCGGACAGGCTTCGAGGAACCTCGCGGTGCAGAGGCGGATCTTGGAACAGTTCCCCTCGCAGGCCGTGGTGCGGCCAGGGGCGGCCAGCTACGTGGCCAAGAAGAGGAGCCGCGGCCAGCGCCCTAGGGGAGAGCGTCGCGCGCAGGAGGCTTTCCAGAGAAGAGCATTGAAAGGCTCTGTGCTCAGAAAGGTGGACAGCGGCGAAGATCTCACGGAGGAGGAAAAGACCTTCTACCACGAGTGGGTGAGGGAGCTCCTTGACCAGGTGCCGAAGGACCTCCGCAGGGAGGCCACAGAGCACTGTGAGCGCAACAACGACCCGAGGGTGCGAGCCAGTGCTCTCTTTCGCGTGCTGAAGGTCGCCGCTGGGAACGACGACGCTTACGAGCACTACTTGAGGCACGGCTGGTCCACCGCTTACGATAATGGCGATGGAGGAGGTGCTGGCGAGGCTCACAGCCATGGAGGCTCAGCTCCAAGCAGTGAGCGCAGAGAACCAACAGCTGCGGGCGGACCTCGCCGCAGCAGAAGCCTCTCGGGCAGGCGCAAGCAGCGCGGCACAGACCGAGAGGAGGGGGCCAGACGACGAGGCGCGGAGGCTGGCAGCCGGGACCGTGGACACCCGGGTCCTGATCAAACCCAGGATGTTCATCGGACAAGAGTCCGACTGGGCTCTGTTCAGCCTCGTGTTCCGCGCATACGTGGGTGCCATCTCGCCGAGGATGCAGTCCCTGCTTCGGCGCGCTGAGGACTTGCAGCAGTCCATGGGGCGCGGAGACTTAGCCCGGGGCGACGACGCCCTGGACAAGCAGCTGTGCTTCATCATCATTCTGATGGTGGAGGGCAACGCGCTGCTAAAGGTCAAGAAGGTGAACGAGGGGGAAAGGCTGAATCTGTGGAGGCTCCTGGCGCAGGACTACGAGCCGAAGCAGTTCAAGAGCCGGCGGATGGTGCAGTGCCAGGCCGTTCTCGGCTACGCCGCCGAGGACGCTGACGTCTGGGTAGTCTTCGACAAGTTTGAAGACTTAGTCGAGGAGTACGAAAACGGGTCCGGGAAGACTGTAGACGACGAAACGAAGGCTGGTATGGTTCTCCGCGCGTTAGCCAACGGAGACGCAGACCAGCGGGATCTGTCGAAACATCTCGTTCTGAATTGTAATCGGATCGAGACGTGCGAGCAGATCAAGCAAGAGTTGCGGGAAATCGTCGGCGCGAACCGGTTTCTCGGGCGGTCTGCGGGCGGCCTGCACGCTCTTGCTAAAGGGGGCCCGAAGGGGGGCGGGCGAGGACAGGCTGGCGGGAAGGGCGGCGACGGTAAGTCGCAGCTTACCATCAAGTTTTCGGGCGACTGTTGGGCTTGCGGCAAAATTGGCCACAGGGCCAGCGAGTGCCGGGGCAGCCCGGCAGCCAAGGCCGAGGCGAAACCAGCTGGGCAGGCAAAACCGAAGGCGGCAGCCAAGCGTTTTGCCGGGAACTTTTCGGGGAACTGCGACTACTGCGGCAAACCAGGCCGCAAGGCCGCAGACTGCCACAAGAAGCACGCGGACGCCGCAGGAGCAACTAGGACAGGCGCCGGGGAGCCGAGCAAGAGACGCATTCGAGCAGAGATTTCCCAACTCGAACGGCAGCTGGCGGCGCTTTCGCTGCAGGTGCAGGGCCTTTCTGGGTCGTCATCCGGAGCGGCGGGGTCTTCGGAGGTGGGGGGTCTTGGGATCTCGGCGATCGAGGCTAGCGAGGTTTCTGCTGCGTTGTACTCGCGGTCAGACCCGCGGGTTACGATTGTTCTCGACAGCGGCGCGGAGATAACCGTCTGGCCCCAGAGCTGGCCCCAGAAGTCCCAACCGAGGACTCTCCAGAGTCCCGCCGCGGCGTGAAGTACTACGGCCCTGGGGGCGCCGTCGCGCCGTCCTTGCCGAACCTCGGGAAGAGGGTGTGCGAGTTAGACATTGGTGGTGTTCGCAGGCGCGCTACTGTTCACATCGTCCCAGTCCGCAAACCTTTGTTGGCACTGTGTGATTTAGAAGATCACGGTCGCGATGTTTTCTTCGTCGACGGTCGTCGGTGGGCTCGTCGCAGGGAGTCGGGCGAAGTCTTGGAGAGGCATCGTAGAGGGGGCAGGTATGAGCTCGACGCAAGAGTCATCCTGCCGTCAAACTGAGACGGGCTGGCCTGGCCGTAAGTCCCGTGGAGGAGGCAACCTCAGGTGCTCCAACGGTCGCGGGTAGCTCCGTGGCCCCTCCGGCAGCACTAGCAGCGGGGCCTCATGTTTCACAGTCAGTTTCACCAGGTGGCTCGGCGGACGGCCCCGCGAGCGCACCTGTGCCGGCCGCAGGGCCGAGGGCGCCAGCGGGCAGCCCCGCGGGCCAAGGAGGGAATGGCGGCGCTCATCTCCAGTCTCACATGGCCAACGCTGGAGGCGGGGTCATTCGAGCTCCCCCCCCCAAGTCTTCCTTCGGCGGAGGAGATTGCAAGGCGTAGTGTTGATCATTGTCCTTGCCAGAGTTGGTGCAGATCGTGCGTGGCTGGTTGTGGGAAGGCAGACAGTCATTTTAGGCGGGAGAGCGACGATCTGAAAATACTTTGCGTCTCTTGTGATTACTGTTTCATGGGGGAGTCGGTGGGGGAAGAGATTGATTCGCAGCAGCGGAAGCGGCTCATCAATATGCCTGCTAGTAGACCGTCGCGGGGGGCACCGCGGCAAGTCTGCGCCAGGCGCAGGAGGGGAACCGGCAGCGGCGGCAGCCGAATCTGGGGTGACAGCTTCGGCTACAGCAGGGCCGGCTGCACCGCTAAGGCCTGGCAGCGTCGAGGCTGCGCTGGCCGGGTCAGAGCCAGTGTTGGTTCGAGACGGCGACGAAGGAGAATCGCTTGGTAACGCGGACCCCAGCGCCGCGGATAGGCCAGGTCCTGGTCTAGACGAGGACGACGTGGATCTTGGTAGTATCCAGGCGAATCTTCGGCAGATGGGCGCGGCAGTTGGCCCGTCTATCAAGTCCGTTTGCTCGGTCGCGAGGGGCGGTCCGCTTTTGGACAGCAGCTGGGAGGCAGCTGTGGGCGAGGTGTTCTGCAAGAGCAGGTTCACCACGCAGGTGGGCAAGTTCGGCCTTCACCCGGGCTACGTGCTTGACTTCGCCACAGGGTGGGACTTGGAGGTCCCAGAGCAACAGCAGAAGGCCGACGAAATGCAGGAGCAGATCCGGCCATGCCTGCTAGTGGGGGGCACTGACGGCCCTCCTTGGAGCCGGTAGCGCAGGGGCGATGCTGGCGCAGGCGCGCGGGGCGCGCGCGGGGCACGCAGCAGGCAGCAACTCCGGGCGTCTTGTCCGCTGTGCAGGAAGCAAATCGACGCTGCTCGATACATGCTACGCGAGCACCGTGGCGGCGTCTCTGCAGGGGCCGTGCGCGCAGGGGGTGTTAGAGCAGCCAGATGTGTTCTGGGTGCGCATTGACGAGCGTGGGATGGGGCAGGCCATCGCCACCAAAGGAGGCGGGCGCGAGCTGGTGGCGCAGGGGGCCGGTTGGCCCACCAACAGCAGGTGTGTCGCCGAGGAGCTTGCGACGTGCAAGTTTTGGAACAGAACGTGTTCCCAGGCTGCGGGGGCAGGGGGGTGCGCGCCCGCGCTGGTAAGTGCGGTGCTGCGTGGCCTCCGGCGGCAGCTCCAGGAAGACGGGGAGTTGTCGTTGTCCTCCCTCGAGCCGGGGGTCGCAGGCCACGACCCCGCAGACTATCCAGAGAAAGACCTTGCGAAGTTTTACGACGATGTCTCTGGGGAGCTCTTACCTACGCCGCAGGTGCGCAAAGCGAGAGTCGCCGAGTTGGATTTCCTGCGCGGTTCTCCAGTGTGCGAAAAGGTGCCAGCAGCACAGGCGAAAGGCAAGAACATGGTTTCTGTGCGTTGGTGCGATGTCAACAAAGGTGACGATGATAATTTGGAGGTTCGCTCCCGGCTGGTCGGCGGGGAGTGCAAGTGGCAAGACCCATTCATGCAAGGCGCGTTTGCCGCGACGCCACCACTAGAGAGCCTTCGATATCTGTTCCATTCCATGACAGCCACGAGGCGGGTGCGAGGCGCCCCGGTTCGTCTGAAGATGTTGGTGATGGATGTGAGCAGAGCTCATTTCCATGCGCCGTGTGTGCGGGAGATGTACATCCGCCTCCCGGAGGAGGATGCTACCCCAGGGGTGGTCGGAAAGCTTCTTCGCGCCATTTACGGCGCGCGCGACGCAGCGAACCAATGGGGCAGTTTAACCAATGGCAGTTTCTTTAACGACATCATTACCAAGCTTGGCTACGACGTTGGCGTGTCAAACCCATGTTTGTACAGGCGCAGGAACAAACTGTCAATTGGGTGGAGGCACGGAGGCGATCTTGCGTTCATAGGTGAAGTGGACCACATGAACAGCTTGTTTGACGAAATCGGCAAGCACATGACCCTTAAGAAGAGAGGTGTGCTTGGTTTTGAGGACGGTGACGACACGCACATCACCATTCTGAACCGTTTGGTTGATTTCCGCACGAAGGACGGTGTGCCGACAGTCACTTACGAGCCTGATCCTCGACACGTGGATCTTCTAGTAGACCGGCTTGGACTGACCGGCGGCAGGGTCAAAGCAGTGGGCACGCCAGGCGAAAAGTGCGGCGACTGCCACTCGGAAGAGCCGCTCGCGGATAGCTCCGTGAGTTTGTACAGGTCATGTACTATGCGTATAGCGTACCTTGCGGCAGATCTGCCGCGCCTGCAGTTTTCTGCAAATCGACTGGCCCGTGGGATGAGCAAGCCCACTGTGGGCCACTGGAACCGGCCCAAGCGCGCGGTGCGCTACCTGAAGGGCCACCCCCGGTGGGTTCAGCAGTTCCAGATGCAGGAGCCTGTGGGGTATGTTGACGTATGGAGAGATTCTGATTGGGCGTCAGACCCAACAGACCGGAAGTCTGTGAGCTGCACGGTAGTGATGATCGGCAATCACTGCCTACGATGTTCGACTGCTACACAGACGAGTCCAGCTCTGTCCTCATGAGAGGCGGAATTTGTAGCGAACGTCAGAGGAGGGAGCCATTCTCTTGGCATGCAGTCCATGGCGCGGGACTTCGGCGACGAGCTGCGGATCCGTCTGCGGACAGACAGCACAGCTTCCAAGGGGATCGCTTCCCGGATCGGTCTCGGGAAGGTGCGACACTTGGACACGGCGCTGTTGTGGATACAGCACCAGGTAGGAAAGGGGAATATCCATATGCAGAAAGTAGACGGTAAAACTAACTTAGCTGATCTTGGGACCAAAGACGTCGAGGAGGCTTTCATAGTACGTTTTATGGGAGGCATGGGATTCAAGGAGGAGGCCGGACGTCATCCAAAAGCGTTGAAGGTTTCGCACGGCTTGGGCGGCTACGGGGAGGAGGACCTTCTAGCTCAGACGGATGATGTGGGAAACGAGAAGGGGCTCATCTAAGTAATAGCTCGTGTATGTTAGTGTTGTGCAGTAAGAACGGTCTCGCGGCGAGCCCCGTGGGAGGTTCTGAACCACAGAGATGATTAGGAGCGTATAGAACATTTCACTGGTAGTGTACAGTCACCAGTTTCATGTTAGTTGGGGTGTTGAAGTTACTCCCCATCTTGCTCTCTACTCTTCTGTATTCGATCTTCTTTCTCTTACTCTCACTTTTTGCTTTGCGCAATAGCCGTTTCAGCTTCGAGGAAAAAGGGAATTTTCTTCATCATGAAACCCTGGCAATTTTTAGAACGAGTGTGCGCGGCGCTAAGGCGAGAGCCACATTTTGAAAAGGAACCGCCCTCAATCCGTGAGGCTCTTGCAGGTCTTTGGAATAAATATGCGCCGCGCTAGAGCCACATTTTCAAAGGGACCCGCCCTCAATCCCTGCAGCTCTTGCAATTTTTTAAAAGCGAATGTGTGCCGTGCTTCGGCGAGAGCCACCTTTTGAAAACGACCCGCCCTCCTATCTGTGAAATTGTTGTCAAGTTTGAAGCATCAGAATCCGAAGCGTTGAGATAGTCTCAGGCGAAATGCCCGGACCGCCTTAAATATTGGCTTCGGGGTGCGACAGGGAGAAGTTATGCAGAAGGAAAAGGAATGGACGAGGAGGAGGAGGAGGAGGAGGAGGAGGAGGAGGAGGAGGAGGAGGAGGAGGAGGAGGAGGAGGAGGAGGAGGAGGAGGATGAGGAGGAGGAGGGAAGGATGGGAGGAGGATGGGAGGAGGACGGGAGGATGGGAGGATGGGAGCGACACCAATTCGAGAAGATGCCTCGTGGGTCGGCGGAGGCCCCCAGCCGCCCGAGGGCGCCAGAGGCGCCCCACTGCGTCCCGAGAGAAGGCGCCACCGACCGCCCCGACGCCTCGAGACGGCCCACGAGGCCCCGGCGAGAGCCCCCCCAACTGCCCCAGAGCGCCTCAAGTCGTCCCAAGAGGCCCTAAAGACGTCCCGAGAAGCCCCCCGGACGACCCCCCAATCGGTTCCAGCGCCCCGAAAAGGCTCCAGGACACCTCGAGACGGTCCACGAGGCCCCAGAGGGAGCCCTCCAACGGCCCCAGAACTCCAGGCCTCCCAGATGGGCTCGGAGCAGATGGGGTCGGAGGATCGCGCCGCATCGCCGGTTCATCGCCGATGCGGCTCGATGCGGGGCCCTATTTGCTTCACGTCGACGTCGCCGATGCATCGCCGACGTTGACGATGCATCGCCGGTGCATCACCGATGCATCGCCGATGCATCGCCGATGCATCGGCGATGCGGCGCGATCCTCCGACCCCATCTACTCCGACCCCACCTACGAGGCCTCTCAGAACGCCTCCAGTCGGCCCAAGAGGCCCCGAAGACGTCCCAAGAGGGCCCCCGGACGACCCCCCGATCGGGACCCAAGGGGCAAACGTGGTCCAAATCCTGCGGTTTCTTGTATGCTTTCAGCATTGTCGCCCTGTTGGTCTTCATGGCGTCCCCGACGGCCCCAGAGATTGCCAAAATCGCCCCAAGACGCCCCAAGAGACCGCTAGGAGGGCGCCAGGACGGTCTAAGGCCCAAGAGGGCCCCAGAGGCCGCTGGGACGAGCCAAGAGGCCCCTGCGACGGTCCCGCGCGGGGGGAACCTGTCGTGACATTTCGGGTCCTCCGCTCCACGATGGCCCCGAGACCTCGCAAGAGGCCCCCGAGGCGCCCCCAGGAGGCTGCCAAAAAGCTCCCACGGGGCCCCAAGATGCTTCCAAGAATCCTCGGCAGAAACAGCCCCGGGACGTGCCAAGAGGGCCCGCATTCTGCACAAGAGGGCCCGAAAACAGCGGTGGCGGACGGGTCACAAGGGTCCGGATTCTGTACACGAGGGCCAGAATACCGTCCAATAAGCTACCGTTGGTCCTCCTGTTCCTACACGTTCTCGCTCTTTGCTTTTCCTCCTTCTTCCCTCCTTCCTCCGCCTCCTTGACTGCTCAACCTCGGCGACGACGAAGACGACGACGACCACCACCACCACCATCACCACTACCACCACCACGACGACGACGAAACCGACGACGACACCAACGATTACGACGACGACGATGACGACACCGACGACGACGACTACAAGGACGAATACAAGGACGACGACGACGACGACGACGACGACGACGACGACGACGACGACGACGACGACGACGACGACGACGACGACGACGACTACAAGGACGACCGCGATGACCTCAATCTGTTCAATGCCGTGGATAGAATCCAATGTTTTACACTAGTACGTGTATATGTACATGTGTATATACACATAGATCGAGATGTATGTACGTGTTTGTCTGTATGTATACAGAGGTATATGGTTAATTCGCATCCGTATTGCAATTATGCATTGTTTGTGGTCCATGCTGGCAGGCATTTTGCAATTGGTGCCGAGGCGTCACTGCCTGGCCCATCGTTGGGCCGTCCCGCGGGACGGACAGGCGCAGTGTCCAGTGTCCAGTGTCCCCCAACGTCCTCCTTAACGCCGTCTTCGTCGCCGTCGTCCTCCTCCTCCGTGCCCATCTCGGCGCAAGCCGCTCGGGGGACGAGCCGGCCAGCCAGCTTGGCCGGGGCGATGGGCCGAGCACATGTCGGCGGGCCTGCTGCCGGTGGTGCCGTCCGCCGTGGCGCCGGAGGCTCCGCGGGCGAGCAGGCCGGCGCGCCCACGGCCTCGCCCTGCGCGCCTGGCTGGACTCACCGGCGACGCTGGCGATGCCGGGCCCGCCAGCCCGCACGAGGGCCTCTGCTCCGCCAGCTCGGGCAGGTCGTACATGCAGCCCTCCAAGCCGAGCGGCTCGCCGGGCTCGCTGGCCAGCAGCTCGCGCTCGCTCTGGGGCGCTGGGCCCGGCAGGCTCGCGCCCAGCACGCCGGCGCAGCTCGCGGAGGCCGTCGGCCGCTTCGCCGTGGCCGCCGAGGTGGGCCGGCAGGTCCGCGCGCAAGGCCACGTGGCGCACGGAGTGCAGGACGGCGCCCGGGTCATCCTGCGGGGCGACAGGGCGCTGGAGGACGGCAAGCGGCAACACGACGTCGAGTTAGCCCGGCACCGCCTGGACATGGCCAGGCTGGCCAGCCAGTCGCAGCGGGAGGGCGTGCGCGCCAGGCGCGAGAGGGGCAGAGCCAGGCGCCAGGAGGCGCGGGGGCACGCGGAGGCGGCCGTGCACGAGTTCACTCCAGAGGAGGGCCGCGCGCCCGGCAGGGTGCCCCTGCCAGGAGAGAGGAGCAGCTCGAAGGTCGCGGGCGGCGCCGCTGGTGTGAAACACCCTGCCGAGGTGGAGCGCCTGCCGGGCGTGGCCGTCGCCAGGGGCGCGGGCCGCGCGCCCTCTCCCGTGCGGAGCAGGCCGCCGCAGCGCCGCTGGTGCCTGGCGGGCCAGCAGGCTCGAGCCGCCTGCTCGCCGCCGCCCACGGAGTCCCCCGGGCCAGCGCTTGGCAGGAGTGACTCCAAGAGGACGAAAAAGGTGTGCTTCCTCGAGGCTCTGAGGGGGCGGCACATCCAGCTGCCTGCGGCAGGCCCCGCCGCCGCACCGGGTCAGCACCCCCCCGGGTGGCGACCGTTCCGGGGAGGCGCGCCGCAGGGCCGTGGCGCGTGACGCCTCGTGTTGCCCCGGCGTCGGCAGAGCCGCAGCATGTGGCACGCTCTTCCGCATCGTGTCGGTGCGCGTGTCTCCTTGCCCTCGGCGTCGGCCCCGTCCAGCCCTGATGCTTTCTTCTCTCCGCGCGCGTTCTGTGCCCCCTCCCCGTTTCCCCTCACGACTCCTGCCCCACCCTCAGTGTGGCGACGGTTGGAGCAGTGCCCACGTGGCCGTCTCATGTGACATTTCGGCCGTCTCGATGCTACCTTGGGTTGCTGCGAGGCCGCGCTGGGGCGGAGTAGGAGGATAAGGGTAATTATGATAATGATTATGATGGCGATGATGATGATGATGATGATGATGATGATGATGATGATGATGATGATGATGATGATGATGATGATGATGATGATGATGATGATGATGATGATGATGATGATGATGATGATGATGATGATGATGATGATGATGATGATGATGATGATGATGATGATGATGATGATGATGATGATGATGATGATGATGATGATGATGAGGAAGAGGAAGAGGAAGAGGAATGACGTAATCTGTGAGGCTCGTGGCCCCTAAGCTCGACTCGAGCTGCACGCGGTTTCCCCTGGAACCGCCGAGTAGGCCGAAGAGGAAGCGGCTCTCGAACCAGCACAGCACTCTTTGTGGGGACGCTTCGAGCGCCAACACAAGGCGGTAGCATGTGACACATTTCGTTCGTTCGTTCGCTGGTTCGTTCGTTCGTTTTTTCCCAACCCTCCTTGGTTGGGTATTCGTTTTGAATAGAGCACTGTGGTCGCGTCCCTCCTCCTCCTCCTCCTCCTCCCGCCTCCCGCCTGCTCCTGCCCTCTCTTCGCCGACGATGGGGGCTGCGATCTGCGAAACTGTCGCCACTTTCGAGGGCTGCGGTCCAGCGGAGTGAGGCACCGCGGGGATCTGAGGTAGACCTCGTTGTCCCTGGGGGGCTGCGATCTGCGAAACAGTCGCCACTTCGAGGGCTGCTGGTGGGTCCAGCGGAGTGAGGCACCGCGGGGATCTGAGGTAGACCTCGCCGTCCCTGGGGGGCTGCGATCTGCGAAACAGTCGCCACTTTCGAGGGCTGCTGGTGAAGCCAGCGGAGTGAGGCACCGCGGGGATCTGAGGTAAACCTCGCCGTCCCTGGGGGGCTGCGATCTGCGACACAGTCGCCACTTTCGAGGGCTGCTGGTGGGTCCAGCGGAGTGAGGCACCGCGGGGATCTGAGGTAGACCTCGCCGTCCCTGGGGGGCTGCGATCTGCGAAACAGTCGCCACTTTCGAGGGCTGCTGGTGAAGCCAGCGGAGTGAGGCACCGCGGGGATCTGAGGTAAACCTCGCCGTCCCTGGGGGTCTGCGATCTGCGAA